TTATGTTGTCTCCTCCCTTCCCCTTCTCCCTCATCCCCACCCACTCCCAACTAGCAACCATCAGTTTTTCCTCTGTGTCTTTGAGACTATTTCTGTTTACATTACTCATTTATTCAGTTCTTTAGATTCCACATATAAGTGAGATCATGTGGTATTTGTCTTTCTCTGACTGACTTATTTCACTTAGCGTAATGTTCTCTAGGTACATCTATATTGTTGCAAATAGTACAATTTCCTTCTTCTTTATAGCTGAGTAATACTCCATTGTGTAAATGCACCACAAAAAACTGGTAATTTTCAAGCATGCTACTATCAACAGCAGGAAGGTTCTTAAAAATGGTATAATTTACAAATAAATGCCACCTCTCTCCTCCCCCCCAAAAAATCACATGGAGACACCATTTCTTATAATCAATTGTCAAAGACTCTGTTTTCAAAATTCTCAGCACTGTATGAAAGTAGGTACTCTGAGATACGGGCTCTGGAAATATAAACTGTTATGACTTTATTGGAAAGTAATTTGGCAACAAGTAACAAAAGTCTTAAAGCTTGAAAACTCTTAAATTCAGCAATTTACTGCTAAGGAAGTATCCTAAGGAAGTCATTAATAATGGCAACTGATATAAAGCTAGAAGAACATTCTTGGTAGCATAAAAGCAAAAAAAAAAAATTAGAAGCAACTTAAATGTCCAAGTAGAGGGTATCAAATAAATGTATTTTAGGATATAAATTCATTGGTATACTATAGAATCATTAAAAATAATGTTGCAGGGGCCAGCTGAGTGACTCAGTTGGTTAAAAGCTTGCTTAAGAGTGTGAGCTCTGAGCAACAGGGTCACCGGTTCAATTCCCACATGGGCCAGTGAGCTGCACCTGAGCTGAGCTGCCAACAGGTGGCAGGATGGCTCAGATGGTGACAGCATGTGCTCCTAACAACAAGGTTGCCTATTCGACTGGTGGACTACCCCCGCCCACAACTGAAGACTGAACTTGGCACCTTGAGCTGTGCTGCTGCCCAGGTGGCTCAGGGGATAGAGTGCGTGCCCTTAACAACAAGGCTGATGGTTCGACTCCCACATGGGATGGTGGCTACGCCCACCAGCAACTAACATTGAACACAGCACCTTGAGTTGAGCAGCTGCAAGCTGCTGACAGGTGGCCGGATGGCGACTAGACTTGGAGCTGAGCTAGCTGCGCCCTCCACAACTAAGGCTGCAGGACAACAACTTGGCTGTTCCCCTCTCCCAATTCCCCAAGACTGTTCCCCTCCCCACAATTCCCCAATTAGAAAAAATAATAATAATGTTGCAGATAAACCTCTGTTGCTATGAAAAGATGTTCATTACTACCTTAAGATGAACAAAAGGGTTAGATGATAGTATATATTGTATCATCCTCTGCTACCATCTCCTGGTAGTAGTCTCTCCAGCTAAATTTATGAACACCATCATCAGAACCATCCCTTTCTTATCAATGCCTTGTCATCCATCTTAATCAGTCATCTCAACATAAATAGAAGTTATTTTTTTTCCCATAAAAAAAGCAAGGGTTCCATTCTTATGAAAGAGATAGAAAGAATAAATAGACGGAGAATATGTTGTTTATGTTTGTGTCTCTGTGTGTGTTTGTAGGTATGAGACTAGATAAGTGTACATTCCTAACACTATCTTGAGGACTTTATAATTAAATGATAGTTATTTTTGGTTAAAGATTTTGGAGATATTTACCTGTACCAGGTGCTTTCATCACAATGGAGAAACATAAGCAGTCAGCTTCTTCCCAGCAGATCTTTTCACACAGATTTTGCTTGAGCAGAAAGGGTGGCGGTAGAAAACTCAATGTAAAATGCCTAGACCTGTAATTATAAAAACAATATTCCCACTGAGTGAAGCAGCTTGCATTGGCCTTCATTCATCTTAGCTGAAGTCACAGAAAAGAGCAACACATTTGCATAATCTCTCTCTCTATCTCTCTCTCTCTCTCTCTCTCTCTCTCTCTCTCTCTCTCTCTCCTCTCTCTCTCNTCTTTTTCTGGAATGGCCATCAGAGCTGTCATTGTATTACCCTTGATGCCCTGAATGTCATCAAAATGTCTTCCTTTCAATATTTCCTTTATCTTTGGGTAAAGAAAGAAGTCACTGGGGGCCAGATCAGGTGAGTGGGGAGGGCATTCCAATACAGTTATTTGTTTATTGGCTAAAAACTCCCTCACAGACAGTGCCATGAATTATTGGCGAAAAGTTCAGGTTGTCTAACTTTTTCACGCAGCCTTTTCAGCACTTCCAAATAGTAAACTTGGTTAACTATTTGTCCAGATGGTACAAATTCATAATGAATAATCCCTCTGATATCAAAAAAGGCTAGCAACATTGTTGCAACAAGTTCACAAATTTAATTGTCAGACCTCATACACAGTAACCCCCAATAGAGGCATTTGACAAATAAATAAATGAGTGATGAATGACTGAATGTGATTACAATTTAAAGACACCATCTCATTTTCTTACAATTCAAAAGTTATGCTTTCACTCTGTGCTGGCCAAGTCCGAAGGCCCCCCAAAGGTCCTGTGAGACTCTGTGAAATTGAGTTTTCAACACTGATTTGGCCTGGCCTTACAGAAAGGTTGCCTACACAGTTGCAAAAATTGTTTGGTTATGGAGACCATCAAAAACGGCTAGACCGCAGGTCCGAGGCCACAGCACAGTGAAATATGGTGAAATGTTCCTCAGTCTTCTGCCTCCCTAGAGAAATTCATACTGGTAAGTCCTTTCTAATCAACACGTCTGTTTCTCTGCACACCAGCCAGCGATTCACAGCAAGAGAACCATTTCTTCCTCTCTGTTTGAAACCCCATTGATTCTGCAGTTTAGGAGGAATCTAAGTGCTTTCCAAATACCAAATGTCCCATATGGTAGTGGCGTTGCTATTCTCACTACTGTGATGTTCGGCCTTTCTACTGTACCTGTACCCACGAGGTGCCTCACTGGAGTTTGGCAGAACATTATGAACTCCTTTCCTGACCTATATTTGTTGCCACATTTGTTGTCCTCTCTCCCTTTATGAACTGCTTAATTCTGTTGAAATAACATACGTGTGTGTGTGTGTGTGCATAAATACAAGTTTTATCTTCTTATTCATCCTCATAATCATTTAGAAGGGAATAATTTATGACCCATCATAGAGGAATTCTTAAACTAAACTGTCTTAATTAGAAATTCAGATGTTTCTCTTTTGCTGAAAAACACAGAGCTGTTCAAATTAGATGGGAAATGTGGGCCAAAACGAATGTAGCATCTATATACACAAGAGTTGCAGAGTGTCCAGTGAAAAGCATTAACTGAAGCCAGACAAGTCGCCTTGTGTTTGTCTCCTTCATGCCAAGTAATTCTTTGACCCTTCTTCCTTCAGCTTTTCAACCTTACAATGCAGCTAAGGGTTGAGAGACGTATAACCCCACGGTTTTCTCTTCTGTGTTTACGCAGGATAAAGTATACACTTCCTAAGAGCTGGGGGTCTCTCATTTTCTTTCATTTATTTAGTGAAAGGGAGCTTAATTAGTAATGGGGCAAAGAGAGATGAGTGTACTAGGGCAGCTCACATATGAGGCTGGATGGTTAGAGACTCTCCACATGTGGCTCAAAGGGGCCAGGAACCTTGCCTGACCCCAGGTGCTCACTGTACCTCACAGCAAGAAAGCCTGGGGTTGGGACTCGGCTCTGCTCTCACAGCAGGGCTGCTCCAAGGGTCCCACTGGCCAGTGACAACCCACCTCTCTGGTAAATGGGTCTCTGACATGCAGACATCAGTTAGGCAGTTTCTCCAAGACTAGAATTACTCTATTAATCCAAATTAAAGGCATTCAGAAATATATTAAATGTCTCTTGGATAACAGAGGAAGATGAAAAGAAGGAGGAAGAACAAGGAAAAACCTTTCAAAATTGGAATTATAGGATAGTTAAGGTCATACTTTGCTGTTTTTACTTCTATCATGACCATTTTCTCATACTGCTACATATTCTTTTGAAATAGGATTTATAATGATTTTCAACATTTCATATATATTTCCTTGCAACAACACCCTATTATTATCTAAATTTTATAAATGTAGACATCAAGATGTAAAGTAACTTTCCTGACCTCACACCTCAAGAAAATTGTAGCGCTGGAATCTGAGCCCTGGTAGTCTGGAGCCTGAAGTCTTATCTGCTGTGATCTATAGCCTGTGATTAATATGGTGCTACTACAATTAAATTTAATCATGCTCCCCATGTTGGGCAGATATGCATATATATGTGCGTGTATGTGTACATCTATGCACACATATGTATGTATAGATATATATACAGATACATATGTTTATATACATACATATATTGGGTCATCGGGAAAGCCATGACGCATATTTGCATTGAGAAACAGAGAAAAATGACTTTCCTGATGACCCAATATTTTAACTAATGAGCAGTATAATTTCAGATCCATGTTTAATGACTGCTGTTTATTAAATGCCTTTTTATTCTTACTAAAGAAAGAAAAGCTAGGGCCAGCAGAGTGGCTCAGTTGGTTAAGAGCTCACTCAAGAGTGTGAACTCTAAGCAACAAGGTCGTCGGTTCAATTCCCAGCCTGAGGTGAGCTGCCGCTGAGGTGCCAACAGGTGGCAGGATGGCTCAGCTGGGAAAAAAA